ACCATTTTCCGAACGGGGTTGCCACGCAAATGGAGAACCTCCAAACATGGCAGTCCACCTAGAGGGTACACCGAAGCCACCGTATCTATGTCATTATGCCGTAAATCCAGAAATTCCAAGGAGTATAGGCGAGCTAATCCTAAACAAGAACTTAAGGAAACAAGATTATTATAGATTGGGATCAATCACACACCAGATACATCTTTTATAGCATTGTTGGCTAGAACCAGCTTTTTCAAATTACCCAACATTTCATTCCAGTGCTGCACTGAGGTGATTCCATTACTGAAAATTTATAGTTCTGCTATTTTGTCTATAAAATCAATAGATGAGAAAGCTTACGAAGACAAATCCAGTTCTGTAAGGCAGGTAAGATGTTGGAGATATGGTCCAATATCCGTCACATTGTTGTGACTGAAGTTCAGCTTTCGAACACCCCCCAGTAGTCGCTGAATTTAGGAAAAAAATGTTCAACAAACGAATACGCTAAAAATACTGTGCTACTTTGCAAGCAACCAAAAAACAGGCCAACAGAAATCTATAAGGAAAAACAAGAAAAATCAATAAACCATAATCTGGTGTTTTCCATGTGAAGGAAAGCATACGTAACGCTTGCCCTGCACCAAATTGTACTTCTTGTAAGTCTTGTTAGAAGCGATAAGCAACTTTGTATAGAAAAAACATAAGCACACCAAAACTCTCTACACGATAGAATTTTGGCCAAAGTTGATGTGATGAATTCTTTCGCGCAAAGTAATGGCATTTTTTCAAAGTCACTAGGATGACCGTAATCCACTAAGAAATTGAAAAAATTTTGTCTGTACAGTCAACGCCTTCGATTCAAAGGTGTTGCATATAAAAAGCTGCAGACAAGCTAGCATGCTTGGCAAAGCTTTTTAAATCAAAATGTTCGAAATTCAGAAAATGAAAATACGTTTAAAAAAATCTTTTTCATTTAATTGCGACTCAATTACACACGAAGTAAACTTCATATGTATGAGCTTTTTAACACAGAGATCCTTTTAACGAAAAGCCATTTACTTATGATTTAATCTCGAAGTAGAGATTTACAAGTGAATGGAGCGGTATGGCCTTTTTTGGCAAACTCGCATCGCTATATTGATATATTCTGAGCACTGCAGCGATTTAAACAAAAAGAAAACTCGATAAGTCACACTTGAATATTACGCTCGAACATTATTAAGTGTTAAATTGTACAGATATAATTTGACTCACGACGCTTTCGTCAACGTTTTTCAACTCGTTGAAAGAAAAGTCCGCTTCTTCAAGGCATGCCCAAGGCTCTATTTCAACAATTGGAACCAAGAGATCATCGTCGAGAAGAAGATCCTGAATTACACCAAAAATTGAAGAAATACCTAATCTACTACCTGCAGAATTGAATGTCTATTGAACTCAAACCTTCATGCAGTTTTAGGAGCTGGTTCTAATCATCTAGTAACATTATTACCAGTGCTCAATAATTCCAAGGTTGGCTTATTAGTATAATAGATGTTAAAACAACGTCAACCTTTCACATAATTTTCGAAAAGTGTAGCCGAGAGGCCAGCCATATTCACTGAAACTAGAGCCCATACATCAGTGCATGTGGCTGGCCTAAAATCGGTTTTTGAATGTTCAACGAATAAATGACAGGTGAAAAACAGATAAGTATCCTGAGCTTGGTATTGGACTACTCATGTCTTGCAGAAAGCTAGATTACAAAACTTCGCTTATAAACTCGTCGAATTTGTGATCTTCTTCTTTGGAAAGACGCTTTTCCAAGTAACACGCATTTCCGTAACCAAGTATGCTATCCGCACAAAGGAAGTGAGTAAATCTATTTAGTTCATTCGTTTCTGCTCTAATGAGTTTTTGCAACCACCTAAAACATGAGCCTGTCTCATCAATTAAAAGAAAATTTAACAATGGAGATTTTGGAAAAAAAGGCATATGCCCTATTTGAATGGCTTTTTGCACAAATGCCAAGACTTTTGATTATCGTAACTACTGCGAAAATACATAAGACTGCATTCGATAAAGATATGAAAAGTTCTATTACATCTAGTTGTTTCCACAATCTAAGGGATGAGATCCTTGCCACCTGCATCACTAAAATTACCAACAGAATTTTCTACCATGGAAAGCGTCGCTGTTTGACCATATGTACATTAGCGATGCAATGGGGACCAATGCCTTAAATTCAATCTAAACGAACCCTCAGATTATTCATAGAATAATGGATGACCAGTCGACGTAACGTTTGTCTCACAGATCCCAATCCACACACTCGCGACACATCCGAGTCGGAAATCTACAAAATATGACTTTGTGATGAACGTAGCTACTATAACTGATAAAGGTGTCAAAAAGACCAAAAGCGCTAGCTTACCCATAATGCCAGCAGGTTTTTACAGAAATGAAGGCTGTACGAAAGAGCGTTCCATACGATGTTTGA